TATATATATATATATTGCAAGGCCTTATAGTTCTACACCTAACAAGTAATAAATTTTAATGCGTTTAGAAATAAATATAATACTTGAAATTTTTTTTAAATTATTAAAAAAAATTAAATATATAATTTTCTTTCATTATATTTGATCAAATTTTTATATTTTTATTTTAAATCAAATAGGTTCATATAACTAACAACTAGCTAATTGATATTAATCAAAATGTTACTTCTTATCTTATATTCATGGCATAACATAGACATGAAAAGTAAAAAATATCAAATAACTATATCTATCATGTTATATTAATAAATCATATCATTATTAAATTATATAAAATAATAAAGTGAAATTTTGATTAATAATAATCAATTAAAAATTTTATTGAATATAATAAAAAATAAAAATATATTTAAATTTTTTAAATATTATATATTTGAAATATTATTGAAAAAATTTATATTTTATTTATTTATTTAATAATGAAAGGTAAGGTGGATATCTTTATTCTTTATTGATCATAGAAATCAAGAATCAGATATTCAGATATAATAAGTAGAAGAAATTAAGTTTTCTACAAGAAATTTGATTTGAAAATTCTATTCCTCCCTTCCCTGAGGGCAGTCAAAGTCTAGCAGTAGTCCAGTACCACCGCAAGCATTAGCCCAAATCCCAATCCCATTCCCATGCCTTTGGAACGCGTGCCTTTCAGTACATCCTAAAATAATGCTTCTGTGCTGAATAGCAAAACAAAAGAAATTAAATAGCCCTCTTTAAACCCTAAACCCTAGTGTGACACTGAAACCTTTTTAAATGCCTACGAGGGGAAAAGGGAAGGAGACAGAACTCTGCAACTTCAACTTCAATCTTCAAATGACGAATAATAGGTCAACTTCCAGCAATTTGGAAGCCCCGTTATCTCATATAACCCACAAAGCAACTCGCGATCAAAATCACTTCTTTGGTAAGCTGCTTTCTTCTATGCTCTGTTTGGTTCCCAGGAAAAGGTCTGAAAAACTTCTATAAATTACTTGAACTGTTTTCTTATTCCTCAATGCACCCAAGGAAAGAAAAGAATGGGAAAGAAGCTTCACTCATTTTACCTAGCGCAATGCTCTGTTCAAACAGAAGAGATCTATAATGGGCCCAGTTGGATTGTTTGTGGTTCATTGGATTTTGTAAAAGAAAGAAGAAAAAGAGCAGGAGTTCTAAAACTTTAAACGAAATATACTTTCTTGCCCCTTCCTGGATTTTCTTGTTGAAGTGAAGAAATGGAATTAGTTTTTGTTTCCAAGTTCTCTTTTTAATGCGAAATTCTTTTCTTGTCTTAATAATGAAATTCGAAAACTCATTTTTTGTTTGATGTTTGTCTGTCTTAGTTAGTCTCGTTGATGTCTTAACAATGGGCTTAAACAAGAAAATGATTAAATAATCTATGCAGTTATGGATCTTTTTTGATGGAATTTTATGATGTGGATATAGTGTGGAGAGAGTTCTTATGGGGAGCTATAGCTGGGGCTTTTGGAGAGGGCATGATGCATCCCATTGATACCATAAAGACAAGAATTCAAAGTCAAGCTCTTCTTAGTGGAAGTCTGGTATGATCACCTAGAATTTTCTACTGGATTTCCTTTCTTTTGAGAATGTTTGTTTGTCAATGCTTAAAAGTATACGGCTTATTGTTAGCAGAGCCAAAAGAGCATAGTGCAAATGGTTCGAACTGTCTGGGTGGCAGATGGCTTAAGAGGTTTTTTCAAGCACTTCTGTTTATTTTGCCGATGGCCATTCCATTATTTTCCATTTTGCAATAATTCTACCTTTACTGATTTATATATGTGCGGTATGAGTGTGTGTAGCATGATTTGCTTTGGACTTTGATTAGTGGTTTCTTTCATTAATCAATGTGCTGTTATGCATCCACCATGTTATGTAGTTTGTCTGGACTGATCATGTTTATAGGCTTCTACAGGGGCATTGCTCCTGGAATTACTGGATCTCTTGCTACTGGAGCAACATACTTTGGTTTCATAGAGTCCACTAAAAAATGGATTGAAGAATCACATCCTAACCTTGGGGGCCACTGGGCACATTTCATAGCTGGAGCTGTTGGTAAGCTATTCTGGATCTTTATCTTCTTTTAGTCATATTGTTCCATCTAGTTTTCTTGGTTCTCTAACAACATTGATATTAACTCACTAATCATTGCTCACTTTTAGAATGGGCTTCTTGTGTCTTGTTTCTTTTGCACAACTTTGATAATGAAATTTAGTGCTGAATGCATATGGAAACTGCATTCTATGTGTCTGATTTTGCTTGAGTAATTGATACTTGATCTCTTAACGGGGCAAAAATCTCTGTTCTTTTCCCCTGATCTGATTGGTATATATTTCCCCTTTCTTTTTCCAAATTTTGAATTTGTTTTCCTGCTAAAATTTTATTTCCAAGTAGTCCTTACAACTGAGAAGATGATGCTTGGTTCCAATGCGATGGAATCTTAAATATTTGCCGTTTTGACTTATGGTTGTTGCTATACCTGTAAATAGCATTTCAGAGCAGAAAATTTTATGGTATATGATTCCAACTGATTTTCGACCTTTTAAACTCTCTGTGCATTTCAGGTGATACACTTGGTTCGTTTGTATATGTTCCATGTGAAGTGATGAAGCAACGCATGCAGGTTCAAGGCTCGAGAACATCTTGGAATTCTGCTATCATGAAAGACAACATGCAAATGAAACCTGGTGTGCAGATGTATGGTTATTACACAGGAATGTTCCAAGCTGGCCGTTCAATATGGAAAAAGCAAGGGTTAAAAGGATTATATGCTGGGTAAACATTTCTTTCTTTGTATATTATTCTTTAGTGCTAGATAAATACTTGGGTTTCCACATGCATACAAGTACCTTTGTCCAAACTCCAACCACAGATGCTCATATGCATGCCTAATGACATATGTACAATGATGCTTAATATTGTACTATCTGCCACTTCTGATTTTAACATATCTTAATTTCAAGGAGTTTATACAAACATACATTGTAGATATCCTGAGTGCACTCTGTTTATGTCTCCCTCCTCTTCCCTATTCTTTTTGTTGTTCCGCATGTATGGACATCTAACTGTATGTCTCCTAAAGTGCTATAAGCCTCCCAGGTTGGAACCATTCTGAATGAGATGATTTTAACCTTAGGAATAAGAAATTTTTCCGGAATCTGGAGTACTCTAAATTGTTGATGAATTTCATCTGAAAGCACAATTGTACATTCTTTTTATGGTTCCTTTTGCAGATACTGGTCCACACTGGCAAGGGATGTGCCATTTGCTGGTCTTATGGTATGTAAATTAGTTTAGATTTAGTTGCATACTGTGTCTGTGTTTGTTCTATCTGAGTTTGCTGTTACATACTTCTTTTATTATAGTTATTTTAGTGTTATTTCAGTTTGATGATAACTTTCTACTAGTTAATCACTCTTTAGAAGGGAAAACGCTTGATCTTAAGGTCTGATGAATAGGTGAGGAAAATGATCATCAAGGTCTTATCTATTATCTATTCAAAAAACCTAACATTTCTTTCCTCTTCTTCTTTTTCTTTTTTGTTTTCTTTCTTCCTCTTTTTTTTTTTTTAAGTTTTGAATGCTGTGTCGACAGTCAGTAAATGCTCAAGTTGAAATGTCTTATGTCATCATTACACAATTAACTGAGCACACCATCGTGGTCTCTCCTCTTTTCACATGCGATATTGTCTATTGTGCTTGTTGTGTTCGCCTGGCCCTTGTTGGTTATGCTCTTTCTCCATGTATAGAAAAAGAGCTCATCATTAAGTTCGCATTTCATTTCTTGGCATTTATATGTATGTTTTTCTATATGCATAAAGTAAATTACCAGCTTGATTAGTTCTGTGACTCAATGGAGGAAGAACTGACTATTGATAATATTTTTCCCTTTTTATATGCTGAACTGTTGTCATTTTGGAAACAAAATTCCTCTGGAATAGTTCTAGCTTATGTTCACCCAGTGTGCATCTTTAGTTTTAGTAGTAAAGGGGATTAATGATCCTGTATTTGTTGTCACTTGAATGCAGGTTATGTTCTATGAAGCCCTGAAAGATTTGACAGAGAAAGGGAGGCATAATCTGGCTCCTAATTTCTATGTTGATAGTTCTATTGAGGGACTTGTTTTAGGAGGATTGGCTGGTGGTATGTCTCCTGCTTCGGCATCATCCTATGTCATGCAGTTTTAATTTCCTTTTGTAATGATTGAACTCAAAATTTATCGGGCCCCAGATGCAGTTCATTCTTTATATAATTTGCAGGGTTTAGTGCATACCTTACCACTCCCTTGGATGTAATCAAGACAAGATTACAAGTTCAAGGATCATCTGCAAGGTATCAACTGTCATGTCTTTTAGAATTACATTGCTCCTAATGAGCTATAGTTGTGGACTAAAATCGTCTCAAGCATCAGAAATTTATTTCAATTTCTTGTGAGATTAATTTGGTAGTGCCATCATTTATTCATAGTAGGGACTTTGACAAAGGGCACAGTCTTTAACCATAAGCCATCTTGTATTATCTAACAACAATCATTACATGTGTTAATTGTATTGACTGTTTGTTCACCATCATGTCTTGGACCAAGGCTCGTCATGCATGTTTTTTCATGGTTATGGTTAAGCACCCTCCTTTGTGCTATATGATTCTGAATTTGTTTTATGGTATCATTGTGAACTATTTAGCTATAATGGCTGGCTGGATGCAATGGGTAAAATCTGCAAAACTGAAGGTGTGAAGGGAATGTTCAGAGGAAGCATCCCCCGGATCACATGGTATATTCCGGCCTCTGCTCTTACCTTTATGGCTGTTGAATTCCTAAGAGATCATTTCAATGAAAAACTGGACAATGGCAATCTGCAAGATGTTACAAGCTTGTCAATAGAGAAACCTGAATCTTCTTTTCGGGGGGTAGCTTGAATTTTAGCACAAGACTCTGGTTGTGAATATGCAAGTCTAACCTGTCGAAGAAGCTCAGACTTTGTAGACATGCTTAATTGTAATTTTTTGGTGAGGCCAATAGAGAAGTCAACACATATACAAAATGAGAAAGATCTTGCTTCGAAGAGAATGAAATCGGAGTAATGACAATTTTGAAGGCTTGGATGTGTTGCAGCCCTTCTCCTCTGCCTAGACGACAGGCACAGGGCAATGCCCCAAATTCATATTCGAATCTCATTTTTCAGCTTAAAGCATCATAGAAATAGATGTCTGTTGTGAACTTTCCAATACAAAAGAAGTGAAAGAAGAGTTAATTCTCTGTTGCTACTGTCCCATTCTAAAGCATTTTTCCAACTCTCTTGTTTCCTTTTTTGCTTAAATACCAGAAAAAGCTTTGAACTATGATATTTTCTCAATTAAGTTTTTAATTTTTTATTGCAAGTTAAAGAGTTTTTTATTTTTGATTGGTATCTAAATAAAGTATAATTTCCCCAAAAATTTAATCATAATCAAATTCAATATTAATTTATTTTTTTATTTATGTGACTTATGATGTGGTTGATATATTTAACTATGTGGCAGTTATCATGTAGTTATGACAGGCATCACACAATCATCAATTTATTAAGTCATATAACATATGGGTATAAAATATTAGATGATGATAGATTTCATGATAATTAAACTTTTGTTATTTGTTTGATTATAAATTAAAATTTAAAGATTTGTTTGATAGTTATCACTTCGGTGGAGGCTTTTACAAGGTTTATTCGGATCTTTTCTCTAAAATTTATGTCAATGAACTTAAAAAGCGTTTAGTATTTTACAATATAATATGATTACGGGTAATATGATTGCAAGAAATGTTATTGCAAGCAATATGATTACAGAAAAGATAATATTATAGTGTTTGGTATATAAATAATGTAATGGTTAAAATGTAAAGAAGATAACATTGCAATGTTTATTTTACAAATACTTTACAGAGTATATAATATTTATTTTTAAAATTACCCTTATAGATTTAAATACAAGTTTAACATGTATTTTTTTATTGTTAATTTTTATATAATGTCATTTTTTAAATATATTTTTAATATTATATATTTTATTCTTCATTTCTTATTACAAGTATATATTTTTATTTTTATTTTTAATATAATTTCTTATATTATATATTTATTTTAATTTTTTTAAAAGATAATATTTTATTTTAATTTCTTAATACGTTTTATATGTATACATTAACATGATAGCTTCCTTTCTTGTTTATGAATCTATTGGTAATGATGAATAGTATGAAAAAAGAAAAAAAAATCAAAATTATCTTTGCAATGCTAGAGGAAGAAGAAAAAAATAAGCATTTTTGTGTTTAAATTTTAGATATTAGAAAGATAGATCAATCAAATCAAACAAACTTAATTATTGCTGTCAGAATCTCTACCAGTCGTTGAATGTCATGCAGCAGATTGCAGATTTTTTACTTTTCTTAGTTTGGCTACTAAGCTATAGCTACCCGAATTTGTTTTTGCATTTCATCCCCACATACCCTCAAGTAACCATCCACCTCCTGCTGCCTTGTTGAATTCTTAGCAAATTGTTGGTTTGTTTGCTTAGAAAACGGAGGAGAATGAAGTGGGAAAAACAAACAGAAAACAATGCTTCCTTATTGTATTATTTCTAGTGCCTTGGGTCTTCTCAAATATGCCTATTCTAAATTTTTACTCGAGCTAGGAATGGGAACTCATTCGTGTTACTGGATTTTTGTTATCAAATTATGATATATCTGCTTGCCAAGAAATAGGATGGAGTACACATCTGCCATGAAGCTTTCAAGTTTTAATGAAATTTTAGCTACAATTTTTTATATTTGATTCAGTTGAGTGGATGTTTGAGCATTTTGCAAACCGTTGCAATTACAATTAAGCCTTCATTACTTATGAAGAAAATGAGAAAGTGTCTTGCAACCAATAACAAATTGACAATAAAATGCTCGTAATTCTCAATCTCCAATTAATTTCTTCTAAAACTTTCATCAATTCAAAATAACTTGCTATCAAGCTAAAACAAAATATCAACCATAACAACACCAAAACTATATAACTAAAAATCATAAATGAAGTTCTTTGATTAATGCTCTAAACCATAAGTCATAAAGTTATAATAAAATCAAAGTTGAAGTCACCTAAAGGATAGACCCACCATTGTTAAAATACAAAAGAGTTCAAAGTTAATAATAGTGCTAAAGTTCACCCTAAATTGATAAATAGTTCTTTGCAATAACAATACCCATCATTGCTTTAGATTGAGTCATTAAGCAAAACCTTCACATAAATTTTCTGCAACTCCTCTGATAATGAAAATATATAATTTATCTTCCACATATCACTAGAGATGATATGTCCAGCCTTAACAATTTCTTCGAGAGTCAAGCCTTAACAATTTTCTTCGAGATGTTATGGATTTTGTTTGGGTTAACGAGTACGATGTTATGGTGGGACCTAACCGAAAATCGCGGAGGGTTATGAAGGAAGAAAATAAGAAGTTACGGAGGAAGGTAAAAAATGAGTACAATGTGATAGGTAGAGGGTTAGCGAAGCTTGTTAAAAAGAGGGATAAAAGAGTTATTGATATGAATAAGAAAAGGAAGAAGGAGATGGAGAAGAGAAAATAGGAGGAAAGGGAAAGGAAGAGGAAGATGGAAAAGGAGAGGTTGGAAAGAGTTAGGGCATATGCGGAGCCAAAATGGGAGAAAGTTGAAGAACAAAAAAGGGATGATTGGGATGAAAAGGAGGAGAAAGCAGTAGAGAAAGAGGAGTTGTATTGTGTGGCGTGTGGGAAGAAGTTTTAGAGTAAGAAGCAATGGAAGAATCACGAGCAGTAAAAAAAGCACAGGGAGAAACAAGTGAAGAGTAAGAAGAATGGTAGTGAAGGCATGAAGGGTGATGTAACCTAGATAAGATTACAAGCTCAAGGATCATCCACAATGTAGGTATCAACTGCCATCTCTTTTAGAATTACATTGAGCTATAGTTGTACAACTAAAACCATCTCAAGCATAAAAAATTTATGTGAGATTAACTAATTTGGTAGAGCCATTTCTTTATTCATAGTAAGGACTAATTTGTCAAAGGGCACAATCTTTAACCATGATCCATCCTCCTGTATTATCTAACATGTATTAATTCTATTGATTGTTTGTTCCTCATCATACCTCATGCATGTTTTTTGATCATGGTTATGCTTAAGCACCCTCCTTTATGCACATATGATTCTGAATTTGTTATATTGCGTCATTGTGAAGTGTTAGGTATAATGGCTGGCTAGATGCAATGAGGTAAATCTGGAAAAGTGAAGGCGTGAAGGGAATGTTCAGAGGAATCATCCCTCGGATCACATGGTATATTCCAGCCTCTATTCTTAACATGGTTGTTGAATTCCTAAGACATCATTTCAATACAAAACCGGGCAATGGCAATATGCAAGATGTTACAAGCTTGTCAATAGTCAAACTTGAATCTTAGCTTGAATGTCACTTTTAGCACAATACTCACCCATCCAAGAAGCTCTAACTTTGTTAGACATGCTTAATTGTAATTTTTTGATGAAGCCAATAGAGAATTCAACACATATACTAGATGAGAAAGATTTTGCTTTGAAGAAAATGAAATTAAGTAACTTTTGGTACGGGGATTATGTCCTCGTATTCCCAGTCAAACTAACGTGATATAATATTATAATACAATCACATTATAGGTAATGTATGTAATGTGATTGCACTCAAAAACTAATACAATCTCGTATTGCAACTTACTTGCAATGTTGTCAAATTTGATTTGATAATTTTTGCTCTTTTTTATTAGAAACAAAATAAACATTTTCTTCTAACATAATCTACCTTTATTTATTTGATAAGTAATTATTTTTTGATAAATATAAATATATTAGTAATAAATATAATCAAGCATAACATTTACAATTTATAAAAGACAATAAACAAAATCATTCAATAAAGTTCCAAATCTTAATTTTTATCATTTTAAAACTTAAAAAAATTAAAAATAATTTTAAATTTTTGAAAAGAAAATGTATAAAATTTTAAAAACATAAAAATAAATTTTTTATTTTTATATATTCTAAAAAATTTAAAAAGAAAAATTAAAAATAATTTTTAATTATTTAAAAAAATTCTAGAAAAATAAAAAATAGAAATAATTTTTCTTTTTGAGAAATTTTTCTTGTTTCCTTTTTTGTTTAAATACCAAAAAAAACCTTTAAATTATGATATTTTCTCAATTAAGTTTTTAATAATTTTTATTGTATCCAAACAAACTTTTAATTGTAATGGAAAATTAATCATTTTATTTACTTATGTGAAAGTTTCACATAATTAGGTTAATTATATGTCACGTTGTCGTTAAAATTAATAAGTTAAACTTAATTGAGTATAAATTATAATGAAATAAGATTTAAAAAAGTTTTTAAACTAATTTAAATAAGTTTTTATATGTTTATTATATTCAATTAAGTTTTTATATTTTTATTTTAAACTAAATAAGTTTTTATATTTTTATTTTTTAAATCAAATAAGTCTTTATATTATTTGTCGATTTATAATGTGTGGTTTTGACATGATATGCTAACATATTATAATTGATAATAATGTGACATGTTGACATATTATAATTGATAATAACGTGATATATTAATTTGACATGAAAACAAGATTATGTAGTATTTTTTACTTTTTATATCAATACCATGATAGTGCCATATGAATATAAAATAACAAATGATAATTAGATAATCATTACTCATAAAGATTTATTTTATTCAAAATAAAAGTACAAAGATTTAATTGAACGTAATTAAAGAATAAAATTTTATTTAAATTTTTTAAAATAATTTAGAAGCTTATTTGAATATTATATCAATTTAAATTTATAGTGAAAATTGAAGTGCATATATTGATTGGCTAAATACGTAAATAAACCGCCAAACTATACAAAAAAAGGTAATTTAGCTCATATTTTTTTATTGCATTCAAATAAGCTCTTAAATTTTTATTTTAGATCAAATAAGCCTCTTACACTAATAGTTAATTAACGAAAGTTAATCAATGCTACGTTATCTTCCACTTGGTATGTTGGTATGTTATTTTGATGATGTTAATACCACGCGGTAAATGACGTAATATCAACAATTATTGATTAGGAAGGGAGGTTTTTCCTTTTTATCTATCTAAATGAATGTTCAAAAATTATTGATTAGAGATTTGAAATAAAAAATAAAAAAACTAGTTTCTAACTAATTATTATTTTCTTAATTGAAACCATCATTTTCAAAAAAAAAAAAGATTTTCATTTTTTTCAATATTCTCTAAACCCAATGTACTTTATAGTTAAAATGTCTTCTCCTTATTTGTAAATTTCTATTCCTTTTTTAAAAATTATTCTTTAGGTAGTTTTGAATTTTTAAAAATTGTGAAAGATATGTGGACAAAGTCTATTTTTATTAGAAAATAAAATTTCATATCATCAAAATTTCCTTACAGATTTCAGGGAAGAGAAGAGTATTTGATTTCTCTTATAGATTCTAGGGAAAAGAATAAAAAAATTTGACCTTTTTTTACAAATTTTAAGAAAGAGAAGAGCATCGAAGTTTCTTTATAAATTCTATAGATTAGAAGTAAAAGATTTGATTTTCTTTTATTGTGGAACAACAATATGTCTTTGACAGTTTTAGTATTATTAACCGTACATGTCTTATCATTACTCTTCTTTTTCTCAAAATTATTTATGGATATTTTGAATTTTTTTACATTAGCTTTTAATCAAGCAACAATGACATCAATATATCATAAAAGTTGGATTAATTTTTTTTGTTAAGAATGATAATTTTAATTAAGAAGATAGGAATCAATGGAAAAATGATAACCAGATTGAAATAGTTAGTTTTTTTTTAATTTTTAATTAATAATTTTTGAATATTTGACAAAAAAAAGCTCAATTTCGAGTTAGTAATTTTTGATGTTATCTTATTTATCACGTGACATTAACATTATTAAGATACCATGTGGCAAATAACATAACATAAAAAATTATTGATTATAATGTTGATTAATGAAAGTTAATCAATAATTAATAAGAAGAGTTTATTTAACTCAAATAAAAATTTAAAGATTTATTTGATCATAAGAAAAGGATAAAAGATAAGAACTAAATTGAGTTTTTTCATATAGTTTGAGGGCTGACTTGAGCATCTAACGAAATTGATTTCAGCAACTAATTGCATACCATACTTGTAATTAATATATATTTTTAAATTTAAAAAGACACAATTGAAGCACCTAGGAATGGTATGAACTATACAATATATAAAACTATAATTATTACCAGTAGTAGAAGAAGAAGGGCAAATAAAGGTCTTCCTTCCTCTTCCCTCTCCTTTGGTGAAGCGCTAATCATCACCCACCCGAACAATACCTGAAAATCCAATAAAATTGAATTTACTAATGGCATCGGAAAAGCGGTGCCTGTACGAGGTCTTAGGCCTTACCCGTGACTGCACCCAAGACGAGATCCGCTCAGCCTACAAAAAGCTCGCCCTCCAACGCCACCCTGACAAACTTGTTCAATCCGGCCTTTCTCAGGCTGACGCCACCGCCCAATTCCAAGAGCTCGTCCACGCTTACGAGGTCCTCTCCGACCCTAAAGAGCGCTCCTGGTACGACTCTCACCGCTCCCAAATCCTCTTCGCCGACCGCAACTCTACCTCCAATTCCCCAATCCCTGACCTCTTTTCTTTCTTCTCTAACACCGTTTTCTCCGGTTACTCCGACTCCGGTCGTGGCTTCTACAAGGTTTATTCGGATCTTTTCTCTAAAATTTATGCCAATGAACTTAATTTCGCCAAAAAGTTAGGGTTAGGATTAGAATTAGTAAAAGAAGCTCCTTTGATGGGAAATTTAGAGAGTCCCTACGGTCAAGTTACGGCTTTTTATAATTATTGGTTGGGGTTTTCTACGGTCATGGATTTTGTTTGGGTTGATGAGTATGATGTTATGGCGGGACCTAACCGGAAATCGCGGAGGGTTATGGAGGAAGAGAATAAGAAATTGCGGAGGAAGGCGAAGAGGGAGTATAATGAGACGGTCAGAGGGTTGGCGGAGTTTGTTAAGAAGAGGGATAAGAGAGTTATTGATATGAGCATGAAAAGGAAGGAGGAGATGGAGAGGAGAAAAGAGGAGGAGAGAGAAAGGAAGAGGAAGATGGAAAAGGAGAGGTTGGAGAGAGTTAGGGCATATGCAGAGCCAGAATGGGTGAAAGCTGAAGAGGAAGAAGAGGATGATTGGGAGGAAATGGAGGAGAAAGCAGTAGAGAAGGAGTTGTATTGTGTGGCGTGTGGGAAGAAGTTTAAGAGTGAGAAGCAATGGAAGAATCATGAGCAGTCGAAAAAGCACAAGGAGAAAGTGGCAGAGTTGAGGGAGTCGTTTGTTGATGAGGAAGAAGAGGAAGAGGAGTTGGAGTTGAAGGAGAATGTGGACGAGAGGTTTAGGGAGGGCTTAAGGCTTGATGAGGAAGAGAAGGATGAAGGGGAGAATAGAGTTGGTGAGTTGAGTGAGGATGATGGGTTTTTTGATGTTGAGGAAGCGGGTGAAGAGGAGGTTGAAATTGATAGTAATAATGATGAGGAGGAGGAAATTAGTGTTCTTGAAGCAATAGTGTCTGGGCATAAAAATAAGAAGGATGCTTCTTTGAAGAGTGAGGCTGTGGTTTCACAGACGGGATTTCATGTCAAGGATGAGAGTGATGAGGAGGAGTTTATAGAATATGATAACCGGAAGAACAGAAGGAGAAACAGAAGAGGGAAGAAAGAGAGGAGTAAGAAGAATGGCAGTGAAGGCATGAAGAGTGATGGAAACAGAACTGAAAGCAAGAATGAAGAAGCCAGTGTAAGTGATACTCTGCATGCAGAGGAGAAGCAACCTGCAGAAGATGAGGATAGTGATGGTGAAAAGGATGATAAATTGGGAAAGAATCATAAGATTTCAAAGCAACCGGTTGAAAGAAAATGGAATATGAAGAAAGAAACCAATACCAAATCAAATAACTCATCTAAAGGAAAGAAAGCGAAGGTATGCTTTACTCTCCATTTATTATTGATATTGTCTTCTGATTAAACAGTTGCTAGTTACCTCCATATATATGACTTGCTGGATTAGACCAACTTCTCCTATTTTGCTAATTATGTTTAGTTTTGATAATAACTTTTGACTCACATTTAAAAAATATATAAAGATTTTGATCTAATTAGTTGTCGGGCCAAAAAATTGATTGAATTACCTGAGATTTTGCAGTATGAGTAAGCCATGTAATATGTTATTATTTATAGCCCACGCAATGATTTTTTGCGATGAGTGATCAACTTATATCAAGATCCAAGAGGTGCCAAAGTGGGGTGCAATTGTAGTACATGGAGAGAATACAAGGAATTATCTAACTGCTTCCGTACTCAAATAAAAAGAAAAATGGTATTTAGTTAATGAATAATAAGGTTTATCCAGAGCTGCTAAACAATTAGTTTCCAGGCAAGTGTTTGATCAACTAGTTCAGTTGCATTATTTGAATAATTAATATTATGGAGTACATATTATAGTTACCATTAACTTGCATGCGGAGATTTTCTTGATGAATGGTGATCTCTGTCAAGAGGCAACAAATTGGTGGTTACTGGGGGAGGAATACGACATTAGAAAAGAGAAGGGAAACTTGAAACAACAGACTATCTAATTGCTTTTAATAGAAAGTTTTGAGCACCTTTTCTCATATGATAATCAAAACATAAAGGCATGAGGGATGGCCTCCCATCTATCTCTAGTCTCCAGCTTTGGTAACAGAGCTAAAAGGGTGAGACTTTTCACCACCAAGTACAAGTATTCATAAAAATCACCTAAATACTCTCTATATTTTGTTTGAAATGTACTAGTAGTTGTGAAATTATGCATGTATTTCTCATTTCTTGTCTAATGGTCAAAATATGCGTATTCACATGCAGGCAACAACAAAGCATTCTGGCAATGTATGTGAGACATGTGGAGAGGAATTTCAATCAAAGTACGTAAACATTTCAATGCTACTCTTCCCTTTTTTTGCGGTTACTTGAATCATTTGCATCACCCTATTCAGTATTGAAAAGCAAAGAAATCTCATCATATCTACATCATGGCAGGAATAAATTACATAAGCACTTGGGAGACACCGGTCATGCTACATTGAAATTCCGATGAGAGAAATAGCTTATTCTATGTTGATGGTGAGAGTTAATTATCCAACTCACCAACTCATGTTAGTATTTCAGAACTTGGATAGCGAAAATGTGTTCATTCTTTTGGATCCACTCATCCATCCGTATTGCCAAAGAATTGCCTATGGTCATCAAAGGGATACTGTAAGAAGCATGATAATGATATTGAGTTCTATAACGACTTTACAAATTTTGACTGAAATGAATTTACAAGGCGTTATCAAGAATTTTCTCCATTACCTGTAATTTATTTGCTATGAACATATGCAGTTTCTTGATGTTGAACTGCATGCCTTGACGACGGTTGGCATGTATATTTTTGCAAATTCTTTTTATCTTCGAATTGCAACAAATTGTGAAGGAAATAGCTACATTAATTCTTGGTCGGGTAATGCGGTACCCAAACCTGTTATAAATCAGCAGTTTACCTGGGTGTGAGTGCTTCCACAGCTTGCCCTTCAAGGGAATGAAGGGAAACAAATGCTCATAGAAAAGACATTACTACACATTGATTCCTCCGGTCTTAGTTGGAAGACACGATGTTCCTGAATGTGTCATATTAATTTAAACATACATAAATATGATAAGCCTGCAAGAACAGTTAACCCATTTACCTCACTAGTGAGGTTGGCTAATATGGTTGTCCATGGCTAAATACACACGGAAATTCCCCCGTCAATGTCATCTACTCTTCTAACCAGAAGCTTTACCCTCTCCTATCAATGTTATTACTTTTGAGAAATTTACTATGCGTCACAGCAACCAAAAGTTCTGCGATCATATAATGGTTTTGCGCTTGCTTCGTGTATGTAAGTTCTGGCCTCCTCTTCTGATAGCTGATTTCCTTCGACCAAGCCTCTGACTAAGGTGTCAGCATATTCTTTGCAAGGAGCACGCAAAGGAATCTCACCGGATTTAAAGCTTTCAATCGTTGAGAGGGGACACCTAAATATCATCAAATACACAAATATGGTAAAACTCACAAGACGCATATTATGCAGATGTGCAATACGATTCTGTGTAAAGAAAAAATTGAGTTGCCAAGAGTGTGCATTAAAGCATACGTCATAGTCAGTATAGGGATATCATTCTCCTTTCCCAGGTAAACAACGTTATGGTACCAGCCTCTCTGCACGAAGAATCAAGTTGCTTGTCAACGTTGAAGGGCATAACCTTCCAAATATGACAGTAGAAATGCACAAATAAAGGGAATGACAAACATGGAGTACCTTGACAGCCTCCACACAGAAGGAACCTTCATTTGGAATGGAGTTCAAAGCATTTAGATCGAACAAAGGAGAACTCATGTCATGATCTGGAACATTTTCCTGAAGCAAAACATCATTGAACTGCTCTAGCCTGTTTACGATGCCAAAGAATAAATAATTCAGATAGGATGATGAAGCAGGCAGGCTGATACAAATTCAATAGGGACTGCAATTCTCTTCTACATGGAGAGGATGCAATCAAAAATAGAAAGGGAACAGTCCAATATGGAATAACTTACGTAATTCTATAGAGGCACATGTAAGTTTTATTATGGCTGTTGCTTTGAGGATGAAGGAAAGCAACCCCTCCAGGACCCCATGTTGGTGTAAAATCACGACCAAAGAAAAGACAGTGAGGGCAAGTTTTCCACAGAATGTCCTTCGGGGGGTTTCTATCCATTGAACCAGAACATGACTTTTTCATACCTTCAACCTAGAATCATATTTAGAAATATCAGGCAAATGCAATTTGCTTTTGTACTAAAGCATGCAACACTCGATCCTGGTCTTTT